CACACCTGAGATACACCCAGGTGGAGAGTGGGCAGCTATGCAAGCACCCGGGGAGCAGTTAGGGATTAGGTTTCATGTTCAAGGACACCACGACATGTGGGCATGGCGGGGAGTCAAACCTGCAACTTTCTGGTCTCATGTCAGCTGCTCTGCCTCTACACCATCTCTGTAAATAAGCCTAATGAGATATTTGAAGTAGTTTGGTACCGAAGCGTTGATAAAGAACAGAAATTCCCATTAGCAACAGATTATTAGCTTCCTAATAAGATGTTGAGGCAGAGAAATACATAACTAGACCCTAATGGAGTGTAATTATCATGGCTGGGTGTGTGTGGGGGGGGGGGGGGGGGGGGGGGGGGGGGGGGGTGTCTTTAGTACTGTCCTGCATTGATGCCAAAAAATCATCCATTGTTTTATTATTTAGTTTTGTTTCAGCTGTTAACGTCCGGCTTCTTTCAGCTTGTTCAACACAACATTAAAAATATATTTTAAAGGAATAAAACTCCATCCATGTAGCAGATTTTCTGCGAATGTCTTAGAAAACTGTCTCATCTGTATAAATATGTGAAAATACTGGATTTGCACAAGTTTAATGAAGTCCTGAGTTAAAATGAAAAGCCCTGCAGCAAACTAATAATTGTGCTATTAATGAGAAATTAGCAGCAAATAATTGTCGTCATTTGAGTGCTGCTGTTAATTAAAGCATTAAGTTTATGTAAACATAACCTGCTATTAACACCGTGAGCCTCCTGGTTTGATCTCTGACTCTCTCATTCTGTCGCTCTCATCATTTCTTGGCTTTCACTCCGCGTTCATCAGCTGCTGTCGCTCAGTCGCCGCTTTAGTTTCTGCTGAACAACCATTTTCTGTTGACGCTGGTCCGGAGCTGTCGCTGCTTCCTCAAAGCTTCGTTAAAAGTTTGTAATGCAACAAACTGTCCTTTTTCATTTATTGAATTTAGACCCACGTTTCAGCTCCGTGCAGCTGAACTGGCAGAGGAGCTTTGTTTGTTCCAGTCTCCTTAAAGAAATAAAGTTGTTTCTTTGCCCACGCTCTTGAAACGATGGAAAATTTAAATGTATCGACCACCGTCTACATTTAGGTTTTAATAAACGTATAAACCCTGAATGATTCATGTCCTCTTCCATCAAAACTCACTGCAACGACAATAAAACCCGTCAGATTTATTGAGATTTCTACTAGTTGTACAACTGATTGCGTTACAGCAGTGGTGATTTTTAAAATTTAACTCAGCACCCGTGAAAAATAAAGAAACCATCATTAGGATTTTGCAAGTTCTCAAATCTGAGATTCACCGAAATATTTAATAAATTTGAAATAAATATGGAATAAATGACGACACTCTTAAACAGGTCAGTAAAATCTATGATTTTTTTTGCACGAATCGGATCCTCGACACCACCTGTCAATCAATCCAGTATTAGCAAGTTACCAATCGGTGACCTCATCTTTCCCTGAAGGTAAATGCCCCTTACCTGCAGGAGCTCCACCCCCTTTTCCTCCAACAACATTGTTGAGGTCTGTCATTACAAACTCTGCAGTCAGAAGCCAACATTTTTCAGTCAGGTCATCTGGACAGTTTCTTTTTTTGTGCTGAAACGTTTCACCTTCCATCCAGAAGGCTTCATCAGTCAAGGAAACACACAACACAAAACTGATTCTTCCTCCAACAACTTACTCCAAAGTGGAACAAACCAGTTGGTCCTAAGATGGTCTCTTGTCACACCCCCTCCTCCATTGCCGGCCCTCTTCCTTGTTGACAGTCGTGTCAAACTGGTTGAAAACAACAAAGTCCAACTTAGCACAAACATAACTGGTTTGTTCCACCTTGGAGTAAGCTGTTGGGGGAAGAATCAGTTTTGTTGTGTGTTTCCTTGACTGATGAAGCCTTCTGGATGGAAGGCGAAACATTTCAGCACAAAAAAAGAAACTGTCCAGATGACCTGACTGAAAACTGTTGGATTGTATACCTGGATTTTTGAGCATGGACTTTGTTGTCTGCATTCAGAAGTTAATGGTTAAATTAAAGGTTAAAGACTAAAGCTAGCTGTGTGTGTTTTGTGTGTAGATATATGTTGTAACTTCTGGTTGTATAAGTTTAATCTTTGTTTGCTCTGATCCTTTAAAAGTCATATTTGTGATGGAGCTCCTTGTTTACGGCCGTACCATCCTGAACATGCCCGATCTCGTCTGATCTCTGAAGCTAAGCAGGGTCAGGCCTGAATGGAGGGGAGACCACCTGGTCTAATACCAGGCACTGTAAGCTTTTGCACTTCTCATAAACTTCACCGGGGGTGTGTTGTTCAAGCCAAGAGTCATCATCAGTACTGGGGGCTAAAATAAGGTTTGTAGGCTCAATCATCCAGATAGATGACAACAAAAAAGTTTAAATAATTTAATCTGGACCAGTTTCTTTAAGAGAGAAACATTTCATCTTCCATCTGGAAGATTTCATCAGTCTGCAGCCTGACAATCACATCTGTCCCTTGAAACACAGCAATGAAGGCGACTTATGGGACAGATCTGGTAGAGTAGTGTAGTGTAGTATATTATAGTGTAGTATATTATAGTATAGTGCAGTATATTATATTGTAGTGTAGTGTAGTGTAGAGTAGTGTAGTGCAGTATATTGTAGTGTAGTGTAGTGTAGTGTAGTGTAGTGTAGTGTAGTGTAGTGTAGTGTAGTGTAGTGTAGTATATTATAGTGTAGTGTAGTGTAGTGTAGTATATTATAGTGTAGTGTAGTGTTGTGTAGTGTTGTGTAGTATATTGTAGTCAGAGTCAGAGTCAGAGAGTCAGAGTTTCTTTATTGTCATTCGCACCTCATGTGGTACATGTGGTGGAGCGAAATTATGTACACAGGGTCCCAGTTACATCCAACAATAAAATGTAAAATAAAAACAGTAATAACATCTAAGATATGAACTAAGAAAAACATCAACTAAATATACACTAAGCACTCATAACATAAAACATTGAACATCAGCACAAACATGAATATGAGTCTGTGAGCAGATGTGCACGCATGAACACATCAACATTGAAACAGATCAGCAGCAACATGAAACAGATCAGCAGCAACATGATATGGTTTTTCACAGTGATTATTCTAGTTAGAGATTCATGAGTCTAACAGCCTCAGGGTAGAAGCTGTTCCTCAGTCTAGTGGTTCTACACTTAATGCTCCTTAACCTCCTTCCTGAGGGGAGTGGGGCAAAAAGTGTGTGTGCTGGGTGGGTGGGGTCCTTCATGATGCAGGTGGCCCTCTTCCTGCATCTGGAGGTGTAGATGTCTGTGATGGTGGGGAGACTGATTCCAACAGATTTCTGTGCAGCCTTCACCACTCTCTGCAAAGCTTTTCTTTCTGCAGCTGTGCAGCCTCCATGCCACACATTGATGCTCGAGCACAGGATGCTCTCCACTGCACACCTGTAGAAGGAGGTGAGGACTGAGCTTCCCAGACCAGCTCGCCTCAGCCGTCTGAGGAAGTAGAGTCTCTGATGAGCTTTCTTGATCAGGCTGGTGGTGTTGTTGCTCCAGCTGAGGTTGTCATTCATGTGTACACCCAAGTACTTGTAGCTGGAGACCACTTCCACCGCAGATCCTCTTATGTTCAGGGGGGTGTAGGTGTTTTTGTTCCTTCTGAAGTCCACAATCATCTCCTTTGTCTTCTTCACATTGATGTGAAGGTTATTCTCTCTGCACCAGCTCTCCAGGTGTTCCACCTCTTGCCTGTAGCTGGACTCATCATTGTTTGTGATGCATCCCACCACCGCTGTATCATCTGCAAACTTTACAATGTGACAGCCTGGATGGGTAGCTGCACAATCATATGTGAGCAGAGTAAACAGGAGGGGGCTCAACACACATCCCTGAGGAGAGCCAGTGCTGAGGGTTATGGTGGAGGAGGAGAGGTTGTGGATCCTCACTAACTGTGGTCTGTTTGTTAAAAAGTCTAGTACCCAGTTGCA